CCCCATCCCTCCCACCCCACCCCCCACTCCAGCAACCCTCAGTTTGTTTCCTGAGATTAAGAATTCCTCATATCAGTGAGGTCATATGATACATGAGAAAGACCTTGGTTCTAATCTTAGCCCCAGCACTCACTAGCTGGTCTAACTTGGGTGAGTTACTTTATGTCTGTAACACATGGTCTAAACTGCTTCACTTTTTAAAAAAAGGATTTTGTTTATTTATTTATTTGAGAAAGAGAGAGAGAGAGAGAGCATGAGGGGGGAGGGGCAGTGGGAGAAGCAGACTCCCTGTTGAACAGGGAGCTCGAGTGGGGCTCAATCCCAGGACCCCAGGATCATGACCTGAGCTGAAGGCAGACAGTTAACTGACTGAGCCACCCAGTTGCCCCAGCTTCTTCACTTTTAAAATGGAAAAAAAAGCCTAATTCATATGGTTGTTGTAAGGAATAAATAAAAAACTGCAAGTAGTACGCCTAGCACAGAACAAACTACCTTGATAAATTGTAGCTATTAAGATTCCTGTTATTACAGAATACAGCTGGTCTATGAGATCTTTCAAAATAAGGGATCTAGGAGTAAAATAAATGAAATAGACCACTGGTAATAAAGTGAGTTTACTTGTCATTCAAAAGTGATATTTCTAAATCAGCTTTCAGTACTCATATGTATGATCTCAAGAACATGCATCCGATATATCATTATTAAATAATATTTTGTCCAAAATGTGCTTAAGTAAAAATTATGATTTCGTGACTGGGTTGCCAGATGCTGCCTAACCATTCACCAGCATATTTACTCCCACGGTGGCTAATGCAACCAGTCAGGGCAAGAACAAACTTGTCAAAGGAGAATCTCCATGGTTGTTAAGAACTATAACCCAGCAGGGGCTATTGTGGTCGAGATAACCTATTTTTTAGAGAGTTGACATTTACAGATGTTGAATCATGAAATAAAGCCCGACTTGGTGGTTATTATGAACAACCAAATGTCCAAATCCTTCAGCTTCTGCCAAACCGCTCGGATCAGTTAAACCTGGGGAAAAGACAAAAAGAGCCAGAAATTGCCTTTGTTATGATAAAAGCACCAAGAATTCCAAGAAGTTGATACTCAACAGGAAGGTGCTATATTTAATTCCAGGGTTGCATCACAGCCACGGATGGTCGATCTTTAGTCAGAAGGTCCTTGGTGATGTGTTTGCCCACACCTGAGATTCTGATATGCCTGGAAGGCTGAAATATCGAGGTGGACCTGAAGATATAACCTTAATTCCTCATGTTTTATAGTTCTAAGAGTTGTATTTTATATAAATTATGTCATTCGATTCTTATAGCAGTCATTTGAGGGAGAGAGGGCAGGCTGTCATTATTCTAATCTTATAAGGGAAGAAAAGGGCTTGCTATGGTTAAATGGTTTAACTAAAGCACTCGGGTAATAGACAAAACCAGGATTAGGTCCTCTGTCTTCTGACCTCGAGTGGCCTTCTTTCTGTTTGACCACACTGGTTTTGTGTGTAGTGATTTATTAGAATGTCATCTGCAAAAAAGCTTTGCATTAATAAAGTAGACTTAAAATGTGGAAAATAGTCCTTATATTAATCTACATTTGCTGTTTGTTGCTAAGCTTTTTTTTTTTTCTCTACTCTTGTCTGATTTCTTAAGAAGCCAAATGGGGTTGTGAAAGCTAATTTCTTTATTTTCTCATTAGGCTCCAGTTATGAAAGATGTGATTTTGAAAATGGGCTCTGTAGTATGACACAAGATCATAGTCTGCAACTTGTTTGGACAAAGAGAAGTGGGATGACTGGTCTCTCACCTCCATTTTATGATCACAATGGTGATATGTCTGGTAAATGCTTTGAATTTCTTTCTTTTTTTCTTGTCAAGTGGTTGATTATCAGTAGAATATTGGCCGATATTTAGATATCAATTATTATAATGTCTAACTCTATGCCTTCTTTAACGATTTTCAGGATGTTTATGATACAAAATATCACAATGGAGTCTCATAGTTGCATTCCTGGGATCCTGAAGGTCTACCTAGACAATGATTGGGATTTTCTAGCTGTTTTGACTCTTTATGGAAAATGAAAAATTTAACATGATAATGCTACATAGGTTAATTCATCAAATTACTTTGCTCTTGGCTATACTGATTTCAGCTCTAACAACACTTGTTTTCTCAGGCTATCTGGGAGGCTCTGATGGGCTGCTCATTAGCCTCTGAGGTGGCTCTGGAGCCAGACTTTTATTCATTTCTTTATTTGATAACTAATGAACTTAATTCATTCATCATTTTGTACCAGGTGATTAAGATATTTTATTTTATTTTATTATTATTTTT